ATCATTCGGTTGCAGTATCATAAATATCAGAACTTAGAAACTTGTTTATACACCTTTAAGAATAAATAGAAAATAGTAACTTAGTACTAGTAAGAAAAAAAAAAAAAAGCTTTAACGTTGTGAGCTACCTGAAAGTGGTCTCAGGAGCTGCACTAGGGGTTCCCAAATGGAACTTTGAACCACTGCTTTATACCCTTGCCAAGATTTCAGCCTGTCTTAATTCCTCCAGTTTCTTGTCAAATAACTAAATTTGACTTTTTTACTATAATTATTTGTGTACATCTTTATAAGCTTAGGAGGGGAGTCCTTCATTCAAAATTGTATTTATTGAGTGCTTCTTATTAGCTGGAAGTTCTAATAGACTGCTTTTTTTGGGTAACATTCACAGTAACATATGAAATGCTAGGTTGGATGTAAATAATGTAATTTATTGAACACATAGTATATTCCAGTGTACTATTTACATGCATTATTCACCTTAACCTTCCCAACAATCCTGAGCTTCAGAGTTTAGGATTGAGGCAAAGAGTAATGTTGGTAAGGGATTGTTGCTAAAGTAGAAGAGGCCCATGTTGCCTGATTTTAAAAAAGAAAAAAAAAATCAGATAGTGGCAAATTAAACTGGACCTGGTGACACATACCTATAATCATAGTACTTGGAAGACAGAGGGAAGAGGATCAAGAAGTTCAAGACCAACATCAGGTATACGAGGCCCTGTCAAAGAAAAAGATATACCAAAAATGAACTAGCAAAGCAGAGCAGACAGAGGACATGCATTCTGTCCTAGGATAAAAATACACTGGGCTTTGGGAATATACAAAGAAGTTCCAAAATATCACTCAAGCGTCGTAAATTTCTCAATTTCTAGACTTATATAACAGAAGAAATTGTTTTCTTTGGGGGCAGACCTACAGGGTGTTATAGTTTTAACTGAATCCAGTTAAGGAAGGCTATAGGCTTCCTGGAGAGAGCCTAATGGTAATGAGGAAGACACCAAGGTCAGTGTAAAAGACACATGGCTATTGAACTATAAAAGGACTGGGTACTTAATCCTGGATGTTAAGTTTTCCTTCCCAAGCCTTGAGTAAAATACTGCTAAGTAAACTTCTTATTGGTGTTAGTCATTGTTTTGGGGGGATTTAGGGAAAAGTTGGAAGTCACTTTACAAGGAGTTTGTATAGAGAGAAAGCCAGTTACTTACTGTTCATGTTTAGAATCTTAGAATTCAAGGTTGATTCCAATAAGAGTCAGGTAAGTTTAATGAGTCTTCCAAGATGGTGGTTAGATAGCTCTATGTAGGTTGATTGGGGTGGGGAGGATTGGAGAATCTGGAAGTGGTAAACTCACACTGATGACATCAGAAGAACTGATTGCTATTAAAAGTTAATACTGAAACCCAGGTATGGTGGTGCACACCTTTAATCCCAGCTCTCAGGAAGCAAAGGCAGGTGGATCACTGAATTCTGGGCCAGCTAGTGCTACATAATTAAGACTGTCTTACAAAAAGTGACTTCATGCAGTGATAAAAGAGCATCTAATGGTAAAAGGACATAAAGGCATTTCCTTTGATTGCAGTGTGAGTGTCTGGTCCATGGTGTATAACAAGTCATGGGAAAATGTGAAGTGCTTTTCTCATCATTGGATTCACAGCCCTAATCTCACATTTTGCCTTTTCCATTTAATTTTCTTTGTTCTTTTTTGTTGGTTTGGTTTGGTTTAAGATGATGTCTTATTACGTAGGTCAGACTGGCCTCAAACTTGTCATGATCCTCCTGCCTCTGCCTTCTGAGTGCCACCATGCTCAGCCTCACTCTTTACATTTTTCCCCCACACTCTTTACATTTTTTATTTAGGTTGCATGAGAATTTAATAATATAAATCACAGGCAGAGTCCATTCAGAGCTGTCTCCAGAGATTAGGAATATCAGAAATGTTTTCAGGTGATTATTGATGAGTTAGGTTGAATCTTTGCATGTGGTCTAGTTTGCTATAACTAGAGACCTGTAGGAATGCCCTGCATTCAAACCCTGATTCTGTTCTAACTGATAAAACATCAGACACTTTAAGGAAGGATCGCTGTAGCCCTGGAACTTGCTATGTAGACTGAACTAGCCTTGAACACAAAGAGATCTTCCTCTGCCTCTCAGGTTTTGGGATTAAAGGCATGTGCCACTATATCAGATGTCTTGTTGCGACTTTAGACATATTGTTAGTATGCCAGCATATGTTGATTGGTGGTAAGTGGCACTGCTGAACTCCAAGGATTGGCAGAACTTTCAGAATGCTTTAAAATACCTAAATTGTCGAAGCAGAGTACTTGAAAGTAGGGCTCTGAGCCCAGATACACGGAGGAGGGCCTAGGCCCTCCCCTCAAATGATGTGACAGACTTTGATAATCCTCCATGGAATGCCTCACCATCCTTGGGGAGCAAGTAGGGAGTAGATTGGCGGGCTGGTAGGGGGCAGGGAAGGATGGAACCAAGAGGAAAATATCTGTTGCTGCTTGTCTGCAATGTAGAAGATGCTCCTTAGCTGCAGAAATCTTACCCTCAAGCAGATTATGATAAAAATGAAAATGTGTCTTAAAAAGATTAATGCAGATGTCCCTCATCATCTGTCTTGTCAGTCTGAATTTGAAGTGCTCTAGAACTCATGTTTTTATCTCTCGATGCTTTTCTTCCTAATCTCCTGGTATTATCCTTTACTTGTGGTTTTAAATACAGTCAAGCTGATTACAGCCAATATATCTGCTTTTCCCAGATATATGTCTGTAGGTTGCTATTGCTATCTCCTCTTAAATAACTAGTAGGTATCTTAAATGTAACATGTCCAAAACTTAATGTGTTCTCCCCTGTAAACCTCTTGCCCTTATTTCTCTGTATCTGAGTGACTATTACATCTCTCCATTTGTTCAGACTAGAAATTCCAGTCATTCCTGACTTTACTTATATACATACATTTTTGTCAGTAAATCCTGGCTGTTATATGTTCAATATATATTTAAAATTCAGCATCACTGCCATACTAGGCTAAGCTTACATATCTCACCCAGTTTCTTATAGTTTTTGCTTGATTTCTCTCTCTTTTACTTTCCCCTTCCAACCTGTTCTAACACAACATAAGAATGCTTCTTTCAAAATATTAAAGCAAGTTGGGTCTGTAATTCTGTTGGTAGAATGTTTGCCTAGTGTATCTAGGTTCCATCCCAGCACCATATAATCCAAACATTTTAGCAAATGCCTGTGTTCTAACATCTGGAAGGAAAAGGCAAGAGAATTAGAAGTTAAAGGTCCTTTATATAGGGAGTGTGAGGCAAGCCTAGGATACATAAACCCTGTCTCAAAGGAAAGATCACTGAGGTTTGTTAAGTGCAATGTGTCGTTCTAGCATTAGGGAGGCTGAGTAGAAGGCATTTATAAGCCTGAGGCCACCCTGAGCCTAAAACAATAAAATAAAGACCTTAAGTTTGGCTTGTTCTTCTGCTTAATATACCATCTAGTTGCTTTTCTGTTCCAAAGTGAAAATAATGTCTCTAGACATGGTTGTGAGCCATGTGATTGATATGTGTGCTAAGAACTAAACTCAGATCTCTAGAGAAGCAGTGAGTTCTCTTTACCACTGAGCCATTTCTCTAGCACCTAAAAATAATTTTTAAAAGCAGAGTTCTCCTGCTTCAGCGATAAAGAATTTCTTTACCAAGTTCAAATTTATAGAAGCCACATCAAAGTACACTGTTACAAGAACATAACTAAAAAAGGAAAGATAAAAGTTGGGTATGTATACACATCACCTAAGCCAAAAGCCGGTGAATGCCCATGCAGAAAATCAGTAAAACCAAAAGATATACAAAATCTTACTTTTATCTTTATACCTTGTTCTGGAACAGAAATATTTAACTTCAGTTTGATCTTTGTTCTTTGTTAGGAAGAAAAACTCTGCCTATTGAACTTTTGTTTTTCCTATCCCAGTTAAAACATCCCTTGGTTATATCTGATGTAATATCATATCTCAGTGTCTGGCAAACTTCTGAATCATGAAGTGTATTTTGTATACTGCACTCATGAATTTATGAATCTCCTATTCATTTGAAAACTTAGTAATTTATTTCTAATATATGATCTTTGACAAGGGCTTCTTTTTCTTAATGCCTTTTCCAGTTGCTAACTTTATAACATTGATTATCTATCCAGTATCATTTTTGAGACATTAGCTTCTCTGCTCTTAATACTTCTCACTCTGTTTATATCTGTTCATGCTATGATTTAAAGTATTTTGGCCTCATGGGGTGAGGGACATATTCCTCTCAGATGATAGCAGCATCTTGCCAACTAGTTAGTTCCTTCATTTTGGGTCATATTCTACTTCATCTCTAAAGAGTTAAGGCAACTGTAACTCTGTTACCTGAACACATATCATACTAAAGATTCAGCTGGACATGTATCAAAAATGCTGTCTAAAATAACCAAGGGAGGTTGAATCCAATAGTGATTATCATCTATAGCTTCTCAAACCTTTTGTGTCTTGATCTTGACAGCAACTGTTATCCATAGAGTCTTTGATATTTTCTTTGTAAAACACACACAAAAAAAAAAAAAGAAGAAGAAGAAGAAGACGAAAGAGTAAAGAGGTCTGGTGTGGTGCCTTAGCAATCAGCATTTCTGAGGCAAAGACAGGTATAACTATCTCAATTCCAGATCAGCTGGTTTTTAACTAAATGTCTCTCACACCCTTTTTTTTTAAGTAAAGGAGCTAGAGGGGAGAAGAGACTGCAGAAGGAGGAGTGCTAGAGGAGGGGAAAGAGGAGGGAATGGACCTAGTTTTCATAATGTAATGAGTTTCCTACCACCCAAGGTTTTCTTCTGTACAGCACCTGTAATGACCTAGCTACATATTAGGCATATCATGAATTAAATGTGTTGTTTCAGTTG